CAGACACTGAATTGCAGGTGTGAGGTCTTGTCCAGAATCTGAGTTTTAACCTGATATCAGGCGGGTTTTATTCCAAAAGCAGGAATTTATAAAATACCACACTGCCTGTGAATGCAAATTGTGCTTCTTGAACAAAACAGAATATATCTGCAAATAAACAAATATCTTGGATGAAATGATGCATCCCATAGATTTATGCACGTGCGCGGGAGAGCCAATATGTCTATCAGTGTGTGCGTGCGTGCATAATACATTATCCAAAACTGTACATACTAATTAAAGGTAGAAAGATCATAACAATTTATCAAGGTGATGCTGTCAAAACAGGACAGTAAGGAAGATTTTACAGATACAGGTGTCACCTGTAGCGTGAAAATGAACCCAAGATCACGGGTGAGGCCGTCTTTGTGGGTATGGAACTTGGCTATCAGTCTCTGCTTGGCGATTCTGCGTTGTTGTGTATCTCGAAGTCTGCCTTGGAAGACACTTACCCAAAATCGGAGGCTGAATGCCCTTGACCACTGAAGTGTTCCCCCACTGGGAGGGAACACGCCTGTCTGCTCTCCTCTCACTGCACCTGACGAAAGGGCTGCGCTCTGAAAGCTTGTGATTTCAAATAAACCTGTTGGACTTTTAACCTGGTGTCGTGTGATTTTTGACTTTGTGCACCCTAGCACCTCCACATCAGTTTAAAGTGAAGCAGAGAGTTATGGCATCTTAAAGGACATTCTTGACACCCAACTAAGCAAGGAAATTCAGAGCAACATGTTTCAAATGCCACACCCCATTGGAGCCACCAAGAATATTAGATTTCTGTTGGAAGGATAGGAATGAACAAAAGGGGAAAAGGGTGATCTACAGACAGAGCTTTAAAATGCGAAACATTATTTCTCTTCCAAAATGAACACAAGGCTAGGAAATGGCTACTCACATGGGTTAAGTTGAAAAAATACAGAAATCAAAGCACTTGATTGCAGTCCCAGTCCCATTTTAAATAGGTAGCAAGTTTCAGTTATGATCTGAGAACATGGCAAAATTTTGTTCAGGCACAATGAATTATCTTAGAATGCAATCACAAACAAAAAATTTCCTTAGCCCACTTTGCAACAGCAATATTCCACAAATAGCAATTTGGTTAATGGCTAGGTCATGTAATTCAGTATGGTTGATTAGGACACTAGGACAATCTGCACTTCTGGTAATGCCCTGGAATTGTTGAGGCTAATGTGAAAGCTTGACACAATGTTTCATTTTAAACACAGGAACTGTGACAAGGGAGCACTTCCTTCAATACTGCATTGTTACAGTCTCGGTTACGAGTATGGAGTCTGAAACTTTGACAAGAGCCGAGGAGATACAGGCATCTGAAATAGTTTTTCAGGTATCTTGGTCAGTTGGCAGCAGTTGCACCTAGTTTGAAATTCACAAGTTCAACTGACATTTGCACATAATTGTGGTTCGCAATCTAACACTCAGCTGAGGGAGTGCCATGGTGCCAGAGGGGCTGCCTTTGAAAGGAAATCTGAAGCTGGAGGTTGCACAGGTCCTCACGGATGGGCATGTTAATACTCCAAGATCATTATGGAGGTTTTCCTCCTGTCAATTAACCTTCAAATGAACACAAAACTCTGTTCTATTATTGCACTGCTGCTTGAGGGAGCTTGCTGTCCATAAATTGGCTTTGCAAGATTTCCTATATTACAACAATATC